CTTTATTTACTTTACGCCATTTATTTTGTTTCTCAAGTAAAATATTTGGGTGTTATTTTGGACCCACAGCTAGGATTTTCTAAACAGATTGATATATTATATACAGGGTGGTCCGAACTGTATTTCGGAAACTTGGGCAGTATATTCTGCAGATAAAGGCGATAAAGGATACAAGGTGTAGAAGTTTCATTTTTATTTCGATTTTTTCTAAATAATTTCTGAAATAACGTCAATATTTGGATGAAAATTGGTGTCTGGGAGTTCTTTGACATGAGAAATTTGATTTTGATGTCAATATGACTCCTACTAGTAGAGAGCGCCACCTACTTGTGTTTTAACTGTTTTGAAGCGTAATAACCTTTTGTCCGTACCTGTATAAAACTAACGAGTGAAAAAATATACATCTCTGTGATTTTTTACGTAAAAAATATCTCTTTGTAAAAATCGCTACGAGTAACCGTTCTTAAGATATTTAGAATGGAAATAGTAAATACATATCATTATTGACGAAAAATAAACACGTTGAGTAGATAGTTATTTGAGTGAATTTGGGAAATTTTTATTTTTTTAAACTAATCATAATTTTTTTGCAAAAAATGATGATAAAACAGTTTCTGTTGAACATCTGCCACAAAAGCATTTCAAATTTATGATTTAATAACTATTTAGTTAACATGTTTAATTTATGTCAATGATGACAGGTATTGATAATTTCTATTCCAAATATCTCGAAAATCATTACTCGTAGCGGTTTTTACTAAGAGATCTTTTTCACGTAAAAAACATCGTAAATGTATATTTTTTTACTCGGTAGTTTTATACAGGTACGGGCGAAAAGTTATTACTCTTCAAACCAGCTAAAAATATATAGGTGGCGCCCTCTATTAGTAGGAGTCATATTGTCATCACAATCAAATTTCTCATGTGAAAAAACTCCCAGACACCAATTTTCATCCAAATATTGACGTTACTTCAGAAATTATTTGGAAAACATTGAAATAAAAATGAAACTTCTACACCCTGTATCTCCGAAACTAAGCATTTTAGGACATACGAACTCTTTTACTTATTTTTATCTGCAGAATATGCTGCCGAAGTTTTCGGAATACAGTTCGGACCACCCTGTATATTATAGATATATTACGTCATTTCAATTATTGTAGTTCACTATTAATATCATGTACAGGGTGTCCCACTAAGATTAGCTCTCGGCTGTATATCGGAAAGTATTAGCCGTAGGGCCTACGGAAAAAAATATTTCTAACTAAAGGGGCTATGAGAAATTGCTGGAAATTATTTTCAAGTTTGTAAAACGGCCGCTAGTATATACTGCTATGGAAAATAAGAAAATAGCATTTTTACAGAATTTTGCCTAGATAATGGGTACTATAAATAATAGCTTCATAATCTTCAGTAAATTTTGGATTTTTTTTGTTAGAACCATTTGCTCCTATCTGCTAAAATAAAGCGGTGGGGGATAGTTTTAGACCTATCTTTATTTAAATGTTAATTAATAACTCCGGACTGGATGATCAGAATCCAATAAACGAGGGCTCGTTTAAAAGCGCGTTTCTTACTCTATATTATACCATAAAAATAATAATAATAAGGTTTTGGACGTAGACGCTAGGGGACGCTTTCTTACAATTTAACAAACATAGCGCATTTTTTCAAAAAAATACGATAGTATATGTAATTTTAGCTGATAGTAAAGAGTAGTAAAAGCTTAAAAAGTCAGTGAAAACCGCATCTTGATATCTTCTTTCAAACCGAAGATATTAGCAAAATTATAATATATACCAAAAAATAAGTCCTTAATTACCTTATTTTTACAACACGGTATCAGTAGCCCTCTTGATTATGCCCATTCTAACGAAAAAATAAGATAGAAACAGTTAGTTTATTTTAAAATCGACGAAATACCAGAATACCATAATACCAGATGTGTTAATATCTAATAATTAAGATATTAATAACAGTGCACAAGAAACCATGATTCAGTGAAGTCAAGGTAGGCTTTGGAAAAAAATTGCTTTTGACTTAATAGTATAAATGTCAAATTGTTATTAGATCAACATTTTGATAGTCTTAGCAGCGTTTTTTTATCTTTTAATTGCTTTTTCAAAATGCCTTTATTATTTGAAGTAGTTGAAGTTGACATTTTGAAAAAGTAATCAAAAGATAAAAGACTATCAAAATGTTGATCTAATAACAATCTGACGTTTATACTATTACGTCAAAAGCAATTTTTTTTCCAAAGCTTACCATGACTTCACTGAATCATCGTTTCTTGTTCACTGTTATTAATATCTTAATTATTAGATATTAACATATCTGGTATTATGGTATTTCGTCGATTTTAAAATAAACTAACTGTTTCTATCTTATTTTTTTGTTAGAATGGGCATAATCAAGAGGGCTACTGATACCGTGTTGTAAAAATAAGGTAATTAAGGGCTTATTTTTTTTGTATTTATTATAATTTTGCTAATATCTTCGGTTTGAAAGAAGATATCAAGATGCGGTTTTCGCTGACTTTTTAAGCTTTTGCTACTCTTTACTATCAGCTAAAATTACATATAATATCGCATTTATTTTTTTTTGAAGAAACGCGCTATATTTGTTAAATTGTAAGAAAGCGCTCCCTAGCGTCTACGTCCAAAACCTTATTATTATTATTTTTATGGTATAATATAGAGTAAGAAACGCCCTTTTAAACGAGCCCTCGTTTATTGGATTCTAATAATCCAGTCCAGAGTTATTAATTAACATTTAAATAAAGATAGGTCTAACCTTGCCCCACCACTTTATTTTAGCAGATAGGGGGAAATAGTTCTGACAAAAAAAAATCTGAAATTTACTGAAGATTATGAAGCTATTATTTATAGTACCCATTATCTAGGCAAAATTCTGTAAAAATTCAATTTTCTTATTTTTCATAGCAGTTGCGCCCTCTATCGGCCGTTTTACAAACTTGAAAAATAATTTCCAGCAATTTCCCATAGCCATAGTTATAAATATTTTTTTCCATAGGCTTTACTGCTAATATTTTCCGAGACCAGCCGACAGCTATTCTTAGTTGGACACCCTGTACAGGGTGTCCCATTTTGGTTGAAATCATACGGTATCTCCGTTTTTCGTGAAGATAGAAGGGTGCGCTTTGCACATACCTGTGCCACTTTTTTGTCAAATAAAAGATGCCATAAACAAAATTTTCATTACCCTGTTCGTTTCTGAGCTACAGGGTCTTTTTGAAAATTTTGCAATTTGGGACACCCCCCGTATCTCTGTTATTGTTAAAGATATTGAGACGGTGAAAACTGTTTATTGTAGAACTTTTTACGTAGAACACAGTGGTGTAGTGTGTTATTCTACGAAAATAATATTTTTAAAAATATGAACTAAAGTTATGTTTTATTAAATGGACCACCCTGTATATTTATGAATTATATGATCTGGCTTGTTATAAGCTTCTCAAAAATATATAACACTCTATATTTGTTTTCATTATTTAAGGCAATATTTAAAAAAAACATATTAAAAGATCATTTTTTTAGTAGGCCATGATTGATAATAAAAGAAACTAAAGAATTATTAAGAGTAATACTGCTATCTGTGTCTTGTTTTATTTTGAGAGCCACTAATTAATTCTTTGTGTATTAGGGAAACTTAAATCTCTACCGCTATTTGTAAATCTTGGAAGCTATCGTATCGGAACTTTTAAATATTCCTTTAGCTAATTTACGTGAAATATACTTTCAGCAAGATGGGGCTCCCCCTCACAACTTAACTTACAAGGAAAATATTAGAATTTTGTTAAATTATTATTTCTCAAATCAATGAATTGGAACCAATGTACCCATATGATGGCCTCCCTGATTCCCGGATTTGTGTGTTCTCGATCTCAGATTTTGGAGATTTTTGAAATATGAAATATATCGTGGCAACTAATACGATGTTGCACACCTGAAAAATGCTTCAATAATGCAAGCTTTTAAATATTTGCAAACCCATCCCATTATAATAAATTCCGTTATAAAAAAGAGAAAAATACATTTAGAGGTTCAGTGGTAACAGTTCAAAAGTAAAATATTACAATTCCAAATAAAATTTTAATATGTGCATGTTTATTTTAGTAAATACCATTTTGATTTTGTTATTTATCACGGCCTACTAATAAGAAAATGATATATTTTAAATATTGTAGTAAATAGTAAAAATATAGAGCAATATATATATTTGAGAAGCTCATATCAAAGCGGATCATATGATTTATAAATATACAGGGTGTTCCATTTGAAAAAACATAACTTTAGTTCATATTTTCAAAAATATTTTTTTCGGAGAAAAACAGACTACGGCACTGTATTCTACGTAAAAAGTTTTACAAGAATCAGTTTTCACCTTTTCGATATCATCCATAATAACGGAGATACGGGGGCGGTCCCAAATTTCAAAATTTTCGAAAAGACCCTGTAGCTCAGAAACGAAAAGGGTTATAAAAATTTTGTTGACGGCATCTTCCATTTGACAAAAAAATGGCACAGGTTTGTAAAAACCGCACCCTTCTATCTTCACGAATAACGGAGATACCGTATGATTTCAACCAAAATGGGACACCCTGTACATACAAAATAAAATATAATAATAATATATCAATATACTAACTTAAAAAGTTAAAAATAATCTTTTCAGCCCTTTTTTGTCTCTTATACTACGTGTAAAATTAACAAGTTATGCTATTATTACATCACCACCTCTTAATCAACCCGACAATCGAGACTTACTCGACCGCAGACTCTTTTTTCTTCACCTCCGACCTCCAGCTTATCACCAATACGCTTCTCTCGGCTCTTCCTGCTGCCTAGGCTCGTTCCTCTCACCCTGGTCGTTTCGCTTTGGTGCGGATGCTCTTCGCTCGTCACAGAGGGGTCCTCCTGCACTCTCACCCCGTGTTTGTGTCGTCTGCCGCCAACGTTTTCTTCTTCGGACGGCCGACGTTTCATTCATCGCGCGCTCCTTTGCCGAGCAGCAACTACTGACGCGCCGCAGGATTACAAGTTGAACAAGTGCCGGACGCAGATTTGCGTGGATTTGTATCTATTATTTGGTGTCGATTTTGTGCGGGTGTGATTTTTTTTCTTAACTTTCGGGTATTATTTGTTTGGGTCTATATAACTTTGTGTAACATTTTATGTGTATCTTCATTTAAATTGGTGCAAAATGAAGACGAACTTTTTTCTGGTTTTGGTTTGCTCTGTCTTGGTAAGTAATCAGATAAAATATTACAACGGATTATAACAGAAAATATTCCTATAATTAACCCAGCAATATGTATTTGTAGATCATTATTATTTAATAATTTGTTAATTGAACGTTTATTTTCGTACGTATCGCTCCTATCACTGTATCATAATAACTATGGTTTATCTGCGCTGATAAAAAATATTTTGTTGCCATTATTTTTTTTTTAATTTTTATAATATTGTTTTAAAATTTTATTTATTTGTGAAATACTAGGAAATTTAAATAATTGTTTGTGTGTAAACTAGTATTAGTTATGTAAGGAATAACCTCATAATATATTGATGTTTTTTTTTTTGATTTCGATATAAATTGCATTTGCAAAATATATGAGGATATTTAGCAAATATCAATTTTTAAGAATATACAGGGTGAGTCTTAAATAAGTGGAAATATTTTTATGGCTGGTATATAAGATCTCGATAGAAGAAACACATTTTCTGTTTGCCCTTTTTCAAATAAGTCCAAAATAACCGAGTTATTTTACTTTGAATATTTCCAAAAAAATAATTTCTTGCTTAAATTTTTCTTCTTGTAAATTTAATCTACTACCTATGATCCATATTATCAAAAATTATGATTTTTAACTAAAAACGAGAAAAAAATACAAAATATTCGAAATTATTTTTTTTTTTCGAAAAAAAAACTCATAATCATATTTCAGCTAAATTATACAAATAAATAGAAATTTGTTATCATTTTCATTACAGGACCTTTAATATTATTTTGCACTTATTGTAATTATTATATTAATAATTGTTATCAGTCTTCACTTTAATTTTTGGTATTGGTTTGACATTAACAGAAATAAAATTTTCATTAGAAATTACGAAACTAAAAAATAAGTAAAGTTTTTCACATATTAGCAAATAAAATATTAAATTTTTATTAGTTTTTACATCATCAATAATCATATTTTTATTGAAACCAAAAATTGAAAATATTAATATTTTTTTTTGACAAATTATTAACGCACAAAATATATTAAGAGAATTGAACTAGATAATACATAATGAGTCTTAAATAAGTGCAACTATTTTTAGGGATGGTATATTTTGACTCCAGAAATACGATTATGAGTTTCTTCTGCGAAAAAAAATGAAAATTTGAAATATTTTGAAAGATTTTTGGGAAATTTTATTAGTTTTTAGTTAAAATACTTAATTCCTTGATAATATGGCAACATAGGTAGTAAATTAAATTTGCAAGAAAGAAAACCCAGAAAAGATCGAGTGCTTCTCAAAATTTAAACAATTTTTTTTTCAAACGTCAAAAAAGTATTAATTTTTGCGACGTGATTGACAATATAAAAAAGTCATTTTAACCACTATAGGCATAAAAGTAAAGCACTTTTACTCCTAAGCATAAAAACACGAATATGTATTATTAAATTGACAATAAAATGTCAAATTCAACGAGCCCGTAACCATAGTTTCTCGATATACAGGGTGTCCCAGAAATAAGGGCAAGTATTTTAACTGGTAGTATAAAGCTTGATTTTCATGCATCCGTTGTCCAACGATACGTTGATACAATATTAATTTTATGGCTGTACTTAAACTGCCGTTAAACGGTAGCTTACTAAAATGCCGTTAATAGGTATGACGTCGTTGATGAGACGCACTTGACGGCTTTATGAAATATAGGAATTTTATAAGGACTAACCAACGCTATCCACCCCACCAAATATCCATCTTAACCAACGCAACTAACCTCGACACTGATAAAAAATATAAAAAACAAATATAAATGAGTAAAAATCAACCCACCCCACCAAATAACCAACTAACCAATGAATTAACACCCTCCAAATAACTACGCTAGCCAACCCGCCAAATACCAAACCAATCCAATAAGATCACGCTATAAGCAAAAAAAATATAAAAAAGTCTTGGTCGGCGTGAGATTTGAACCACGGACCATTCGTTTACGAAGCGATAGCCTCAGCCACTGACCCACAGGTGCTCTTGCAAAATCCTTAGGGCTGGGCATTACTTTCCGCCGACATGAACGACGTCACAGTATCTATTAACGGCATTTTAGTAGGCTACCGTTTAACGGCTGTCTAAGTATATCGTCATTTTATTGGTAGAATTTGAAGACTTTGATTGGTTAGAAAATAACGCAGTTTTTAAATTTATTGCATTTTCATGCCTCCGTCTATCGGATATACGTTGGTGTCATTTTATATTTTCGTTTCCATAACGATTTTGCTATTTTACTTATATTTTTATTAAGGTTAGATTACATTTTCAAAAAAGTGTCAAAACGTCCGTTATCGTACGGGCTGAAGTAAAATATTTACGGATGAAAAGTGGCGCGAAAACACTACGACCAATCAGAGCACCGTCGGACCATCGTATCAAGGTATAACAGATGCATGAAAATCAAGCTTAAGTCAACCCCAGAAACACGCCTATGAGGTTCTTTTCGAGAAAATAATTTTTTGAAAATCCGGAATTTTTTGAATTTTTTTTATCTTTCATTTAAAAAAAAATAATTTCTTGATAATATGGCAACATAGGTAGTAGATTAAATTTACAAGAAAGAAAATCCAGAAATGATCCAGTGGTTCTAAAATTTTAGCAAAAAATATTTTTTTTTGGAAATTTTCAAAGTAAAATAACTCCGTTATTTTGGACTTATTTGAAAAACGATAAAGAGAAAATACGTTTGTTTTATCGAGATCTACCACCCCGTAAAATACTTGCACTTATTTCTGGGACACCCTGTATAATTACATACAAGGTATGACTTTTAAATCTTTTTATATTATTTGGAACGTTTGAAATTGTTTAAAAACTTATTTCTGGCGTTTAAAAAAAATAGCATGTTATATTCTGTCTCATTAATTTTTTCTGTAATTATATTATTTTTGTACTAATCTGGTGGTCCTTTATTCCAATCGATAAAAAAATTGTATCGAGTAACGAATTAAACAGTATTTTGCATAATTCAATAGTATATACCAACTTAAATTAGTATTACTTTCAAATACGCAGCAATTTGTCATTACCATGTGAAGTATATCGATAAATGTATATCAATAAGATCGGCAATTTGCCAATCATACACACCAGATGACTAACCTGTCCAATTATCTTAAATCTGTTCAAAATATGTCTAGATAACGAGCTTATCTATTGCGAGAGATACATATTTATCATTATAAGAAAATAAATACTTGCGTCTTTATCACTAAAAGAAAATCTAATAAGAATAATTTTGTTGCCCATTATTTTTCATTTTGACTAGTAATTTGATGGATTAGTTAACTTGTAGAAATTTTATACCCGCCGTAGATATTAGCAGAAGTTTAAATATTTAGTATTAATAGAATTTTTCTTATACAGGGTGGCGCACTTCATTCGCCTCGGTTGATTATACGAAAACAGAAAGATGTAGAAACAAAATATTTTACACGCACAATTTAAAATTATTTTGAATTATACAGATTGTTTCAGAACTAAGATCCATACCAAAGTTATACAACTTAACTCTATTACAAACACCCTGTATTTTATTTCATTTTTAGATTCTTAGGTCCAAAAAAAGGCATTTATTATAAGGGTTAAATATCTTTAAAATCTTTGTTTTTTGAGATATTTAAAGATATTTAAATTTGCATGCTACAAGAAAATAGATTATTAACACGCTGTACATTACTCTTCAGAACTAATTCTTATGCTGAGTTTACAGGTAGAGAAATAAACTTTACAGAAAAATATTATTGCTTCTTTAAATTTATACAGGGGTATCAAAAATTGCTGACCTATTTTAAGAATATATTTTACATAAAAACTTTGTTATTTTAAATACAACACCCTGTATTTTTTTTAATAACTCGAAGCAGATTCAAATGTTCTTTCAAACTATATTAGGGTTTCCTATACCTAACTAGCTCAGATTTTGAATAAAGATCAATTTTTCAATAAAATGGCAACCAAGAGGGCTAGTGTCGTCATGGCAAGTTTCTAGTGACAGTTAGTAGCTATTTTCAAAATCGAAATTAGTTAATGGACTTATTTAAATTTATACCAGTTTACTTTTATTTAATTTACCTACAATAGTTTAATAAATAATATTTATTAAATATGTATTTATTATTCTATCAAGAAAAACGAAGAAGTAGCGTTCTTTGATTTATTTTACGATGACTTGTGGATATATGGATTTTCTATGAAAGAGCCAATTATAGCAAATTCATTTTCTTCACTTCCAACGACAGATTTCTGCCTAATAGATTTTTTAGAAACCACACTACCAGCTCTGCGAAATAGGACAAGTAGTTTTTCAATGGAACGCTTATCAGGACGATTCCTATTTGGATTTCTTTAAGCATAAGCCCTTGAGGCCAAGAAGCAATTTTCCTCACAAAATAAAGTCACTAGTAACATATATCTATTCGTCTACTAGCAGATACCAGGATTGATATTTTTCTTGATAAAATAGTGAATACTTATATTTATTAAGCTATTTTAGGTAAATTTAAGTAAACTGTTATAAATTATAAATAATAATGTCCATAAACTAATGTCGACTTTGGAAATAGTTACTGTCACTATAAAATTGCCATAGCGATACCAGCCATCTTGATTGCAATTTTATTTAAAAATCGCTTTTTATGCAAAATCTGAGCTGGTATACCCATCAGATTATATAATATATACGGAAACTATAATATAGTTTGAAAGAGCATTTGAATCCGCTTCAATTTATTTAAAAAAATACAGGGTGTTGCATTTGAAATAACGAAGTTTTTATATAAAATATATCCTTAAAACAGATCAGCAAGTTTTGATAGCCCTGTATAAATTTAAGGAAGCAATACCATTTTCAGTAAAGTATATTTCCCTACCTTTAAACATATAAACAGCATAATAATTAATTCTGAATAGCAATGTACAGGGTGTTAATAATCTATTCTATTGTAGCATGCAAATTTAAATATCTTTAAATAT